CAATCCTAAACCAACCGGGAACCCCGAGTGTCCGTCTGATGTTCGACGGGCCAAACAAATTGCGCGTGATATTGATACCAAGGCAGCGTCCTCCAACTTGGAGATGAGTGCGAGGAGGACGACGACGAAGCACCATGCACGCCGACACCATTTACCCCAACAAAGGGTATGTGGCATTTGAAACTGTGAATTCACGTATATTATGTAGATGATGAGAACTCTGACGAACTTGGGAAGCTGATGCCGAGCGTCGGGACAGAGATGAGCGCCGCGAGCAGTTTCAACTTATGTTGATGTCAAAGCTCTTCGACAAGAATTAAAGCAATCTGCATATATATATTGTTTTAGACATCAGTAGATACAAGTTGTTTTGTATATATGGTTTTTGAAGGGAGCCTGTCGCCTGAATTAGTCAAAACCCATCCTACTTTTATGTATTTAGGGTAGTTTAAGTTTGAATCAGGCTATTCAGCCGTCGTTTCATATATTTTTGCAGAAACACATAAAAATACTGATTAACGTATGAGTTCTTCAAATTCATGTGTGGCAACCCCCTACGACTTTTCAATTTAGGTTCAACTAGGCTTAAATTTGGGAAGTTGCAAGATGTTAAATATACTTCCTCTGTTCGCAAATACTGTTGACACTAGTTTGAACAAAATAATTACATGTAAATTTGTATGCAATATTTTATTTGAAAAGGCAAAAACGTGTAATTTTATTCAAAACGTGAATATACGACCAAACCCTGCAGGATGTGATTCAACTAGCACTTGAGGTTCCCGACCATTTCACAAATCTCGTCAAGGTTAGAAGGGGCCATTGACAACGAGGAATCAAATGAATCAACCAATGACTCAATCCGGTCCTCATAATCAAATCTTCTTTGCATTGCATCGATGGCGGCGCACACATCAGCATGGCAGCTGGGTTGCATGATAACTCCGGATGTCTTGCGAGTCTTGTCCTTGCTGGCATGGGGCAAGGCGTACACATTGTCGCCATTCGCCTTGAACGCTTCCTCCATGACATTTTGCAGCGTCATGAAGGTCTTGTCGAGAATCTTCCAGTCCATTTCGACGTATGCTTCGTGGACGGCCGCGACAAGGTCTTCAATGCATCTTGACATCTTCTGGTGCTGCAGCGACTGTATGGCGTTAAAAAAAACCAGGTCTAAGACGTTGAAATCGGGACTCATCGGTGGCTGGGAGTCCAAACGAATGTCCCAACCATGCAAAGCACCAGCAGCCACGACATCAGGGTCTCGAATGCTGACGTGGGGCCTTGCATTGTCTTGCTGGATGTATATCGTGTTTCCACGATGGCCCGGCCACTTCAGTCGAATTGACGGGATGACGTGTTCGATGATATGGCGACGGTAGATGTCTTTTGTGACCGTCATGGGCACAGTGATGGGCGTGCCACGGACGCGGTTCTTGCTTGTTCTCTTGGCCTGCTGGGTCTCCACAAATGCCCAAGTCCCCACCTTCCCGTCCCACATCTTGCGCTGGGCTGGGTCGTACCTCGGGCGAGCGACGGCAGTCAGGAACATGACCTTCTGTATATGCGCCTTGGAATGGCACTTGCGATGCGGTACGTCTCATGCCAAAGATAGTACTTGCGGTTGAGCTTTGTGATGTAAAACCACTTTTCGTCGATGTGTACCCTGTCTAGCATATCATGCCAACTGTGACCCCCGTCTCTCGTTGACTTGATGAACCCCCGAACGAACGACATCCGTTGGGCCTTGTGGTGCTCAGTCAACGTAGGTTTGAGGCGACTGCTGCGCCGACGAATGGCTTTGGACTTAAGCAGTTTCACAACGTGGCAAGTGGAATCCCACTGGCAGCGGAAAGGCTCCGATACGTCGAACGTACATGTGGTGGGACTGCCTTGACTGAAGCTTCTAGCTGAGCAAGCGTGTACTTGGCCTTCCTTCCACAGTTGCCCGCCTTGCGGGAGGCAACATTGCCGCATCCACTGACGTGTTTGGACCTTTGTCCTTGGATCCAAATGCGTGAGATGGCCTGCCGGGTCACGTTGTACTTCTCGCAGAGTGCCTTCATGAACCCATGTGGCACGCGTCCATTGACCTGAGTTCCAGCAGTGAGTGGTATATGGCCGTGCGTTCGTCGTTCGCAAGCTCACGACCAGATTGTCCTCGCGGCATTGAAACCTCCGTAACGCGCTCCCGATATCTACGCTTCAAGAGGAAGCGATTGCAAGTGATTTGAAGTGAATTGGACAAGAAATGAGTGAGTTACGAATGTTTCAATATTTTGCTCACTGCCGTCTAGTGCTTTCCAGTGCTTTCCAGTGCTTTTGGGCATGCGTCTCAGCCAAAACATCTAATAAAATTGATTGAAAAATTGGTCAAGATAGGCCTTTTAATTGGCTATGAAATGAGCATAGTTGGAGGTTATTTTGACTTTTTTCGCATTCGTGAAGGTATTTTGAAAAAAGTGTCAACAGCATTCGCGAACAGAGGAAGTACTATTTTAGACTCCGAAAACATTCTTAATTTGACTTATACCACAACGACGTACTCGAAAGTTGTAAAGTCTAAATATGCTGTCCAGTCGCACTGAGCGCAACGCAGGATTGTACGGTAGTGGAAGCAGCAGTTGACGATACACTTTTGTCGCTGAGCCCATCCCCCACTCAGCGGCTTGCCGTAATGATGTTATACAGTCGCTCATGGTTTGCATCGCAAGGCGACAGTTCGCAGGTTGGCGTTCCAGGTCGCCTTCCTTGAGAGGCGTGATGATTCTACCAGCACATCGGCCACCCACAGGGAAGGCAGAGTCCGACGCAACCTTCATTCCAGGCCCAACCTTTGTATCATCGGCCAGGATGTCCTGGAGCCCACGGCTCATCTCGCCATCGTTCCAAGATCCAGGGCAGTTATGTCGTCCCCATATCAATGTCCCGTCCACACCGTAGCATAGTACGCCAGTCACGAACACACAATGGAGCCAGCCTACAAGAAACTATGAGGATTAAATGTACAAGTTGCCATGTACCATACCGTTAAACTGTGCATTCTGGAGGTCGACGTTGGATGGCTCTTGCACACGAAGGTTCTTGCCGTCGACAAAGCCGAATACACCTTGCACCAGCGGTTCACGCTCGTTTGCTTTGGAGGCTCAATGAGCTTGCCGTTACTTCGATGGCCATCGGATTGACGCGTCAGGTATACGCCTCAGCGTCCGCGCGAGGGCTTCTTCGGCACGACGAAGCACTCGACAAAACGTGCTCGGGGCCAGGCCAAAGAGCTCGTGTAACGTCTTGCCTTCCACAGCCGCTGTGCAAAAGTGCAGTAGCATCGCTAGTACAGCGTGCTTCTTTGGTATGCGAGGAGGGCGGCCACTCTTACCAGGTCGTGAAAGCACAACATACTCGTGCTTAAAGTAATATAAGATGTAATCAAAGGCATCAGGTGTTACCGACACAGTCGCGACAAATGACTGTGCATCTCGGGCCTTGTACATGGTGTACCATGGACTCATCTCTTGGGATTCAATGAGTGCAACTGACTTGATGAAGTTTCGCTCTTTCAACCGTCTGCGGATTCGAAGAGCATACATGATTCGACGCAGGCGCTGCCGTCGCGAGGCCACAAGCACCAAAGCGAGGTTCATGATATATGTTACATGAAGCTTTTTGGTGCTCGATGCCATCCAACTGTTGATTCAAATTAATTTCACCCAATATAATTAGGAAAAATTTGCTACTTGCGTGGATTTTGGTGGCCCTGGTATCGCGTGACGTGACGAAGCAAATTTGACCACAATAATAATACACATCATATCCGGACAAATATAGTTTGTGTCGGCGATTTGTGTAGGTATTGGAAGTCCTCCAATGACCTGGTGACCTATTAGGCGCTGAGAGTATTTTTGGAAGCCCCCCCTCATTCACGGAGAATTCGACTGAACACTTAGTTTGATTTTATCCAATGGGAGACCACAGATCGCATACTTTTGCTTCATCCTATGGTGCATTTCAACTAAAGACTACAAAAAAATGCCTTGTCTTTCGACAGCTATTCCAACTTTGTATTGATATTTTTTAGGAAAATATACCGTAATAACGATAGAACTGGATAAGACCAACAGAAGTTACGGTTCAGATTTTCGATTGGTGAAAAATTGATCGAGTAATAGAATTTAAACCAACCGGCCTTTTTGTACATTTTGGCCGAAAAGGAGTATCAAGTATATCTTGGTCTTTGTATACAGCACTTATCCGTACGAACGTTTTCATTGTATCCGGATTATTCACAATGTTTAACCTAATTACCAGGTAAACAACGTAACTAATAATGATTTAACGTCAAGATTTCGTGGGTTTAACTGAAAGAACCGAGCCGTTTAATAGTAAAACGTCTCCTCCTGAGGATGGCCGATCTGTAGTCTTTAGATGAAATGCACCATATTCGAAAGATCTCTATACTTCCCAATGTCTCATACTAGTACTAGTATCCCATTGAACAAAAGAAAAAAAAAGAAGCAACGTTATCCATAGAGTTTTCAGGATGCCAGCTGAATAGTGGGAAAATTATTTCATTTCCGATTGACAGTGCAAGACTTCACTGTCACCGTGAACACTAACTTCCATAAAAAGTTGGACCAAATCGGTACATTTTTTATTGCATAAAACACCCGATTCTCAAGAATTTTGTAGCATAATTCTTAGAACCTCGATGGCATCAAGACGCACAAAATCAAGAAAAACGAAATATTTCGATTTGGCAATTTTTCTTGGAAATGCGGTCAATTGGTCAATTCCATTGCTTGAATTTTAGAATAGCCAATCGAATCACGAGAAAAATGAAATCACAAAAATATAAGCAAAACTAGCATACATATTTTAACCTTAAACCGTGCACCATAAACCGTCCCTCCTGTTTTGCCTTGACATCAGTGGAAGTCGAAGCAAATGAAAGCTAAGCTGAAGTCTATTCAAGCCGATTAAATACTAAGAAGAATGCCCAACCTTTCCGAATTGGAATCCAGTTCCTAAGATTCGAGTAAACTGTATTCTACAAGGAGTTCTGATCGTGCACCATAAATTGGTCATCTACGTTACTAACAATTAAGGCGTCAGGAGGGCGTACTATTAATAGTACGGGTACTTTGTTTGTTCTCCAGGGTGCGCACTTTTCTTTCAGTAAAATCTATACTGTACGTCGAATTTCACAGTATCGACAAAAGGTCCATTGGTACAATGTACTACTGTAGTGTCCTGAATTGTCACTGTGATCCCGCTAAATGTCACATTGAAATGTCTCGTGTAAAGTCACAGGGCACGTAATGGGGCGTGTACACTACTAGTACTTGTACTGGTAACCACTCCACGAGTTTGTTGGAGTACTTTTGATCGAATTTACTACGTACGCTTATTAGTATTGGAGTGTTTAGTGAGTTAGTGAGATTGCTGCAGCGCACCTCAGAATGCTGGACGGGAGTGCCGAGTTAGTAATTGTCACATACTCCGGGGTAGAAATGGGTAACTTTTGATACTTCGTACTATTAATAGTAACGTTACTAGATACTGAAGAATCTGTTATTTATATATATATGGGTCTTATTTATTTTTAAAATGGATTCTGGGCTATTCACCGCATATACCAGAACTACATGTTACTTACTCCAAGTACTACGTACTGTGGCAAGCTTAGTATTAATATTAATTGTAAACATAGCATTCATTTATACTAGTTCCTTGCAAATACGCATCGACAATTAAATGAACTCCTTAAGAATTCCTGGTATAATTACGAAGTATACGACATGTCGTGACCTGTGTGCTACTACTGCCTGGCCCATTGCATATTTTCCGATGAAGCGACCAGGTACACACTGGCGTCGGCTCCTTTACTCATGCCTTGTCTATAGATTCTGACACTTTTCAACGCGACTCCAGCTTCGGTGACACAGCCATGCTTCCCGTTCCTGGTGATGACGCTCCATCCAACGGCAAGGGCAAGCGTATCGCCATCATTGCCGTGGCCGTCTTGCTCGTAGCAGGTGGTGTCACTGCGGCGATTGTCCTGTCAAGTGGTAGTGGCAGCGGCAGCGATACCAACTCCTCGTCCGGAAACAAGGGCAGCTCCACCACAGTCGCTCCTGCCAATATCGTCACCGCCGAGGACTTGCTAGGCACGTCCAAGCCTCCTGCCGGCGCGACCACAACCCCTGCGCCCACTCCCGCATCTGACCCCGAGACTGGCAAGGCTGCGCTGACCATGCTCGCCATTGGGGACTGGGGAAGTACCACTGGCAAGAAGTCTGGCAGTACGCTGGACGACGCCGGCGATCCTGGCTCGTGCTGTAAAAGATTTGGCGGCAGTGGACCCAACGCCAACAAAGTGGACACTTCGCGACCACGCATCAAGGTGGACTACTGGTCTCAGCTGTATGTGTCTACGATTCTGGCCCAATCTGCTGGTGAGCTCAAGCCCAAGCCAGCCCGAGTGATTGGTCACGGCGACAACATCTACTGGAACGGCGCTGCTCCTGGCGACATTGCTTACCGCATGGAAGAAACGTTTGAGAAGAAATATGCGCAGCCGGCATTGGCAGGCATCAAGTGGGTCAACGTTGCTGGAAACCACGATATTGGCGGCTCGGACTTCATTTGTGGGGAAAAGGACTACAGCTTTTACGAATGCAAGGACACGGCCGAATTGCTCAAGTACCTGGACCTCAAGTTCGATCTCCAAGCGCAATACAAGAGCCCGAACCAGGACCGGTGGCTCATGAAGGACCACTACTACGTCGAATCTGTCAAGAGCGAGGACGGCAGCGTCTCTGTGGACATCTTCAACCTGGACACAAACCACGCCGACTCTCACGGACTACAGCAAGTTTGTTGCCAATGCTACGGGTATTCAAAACTAACCAAAACCCCGTGCACGGGCAACGAAGAGCCCGGAGATGCCAACTGCGCTGGCGGGGATAAGGCCATGTTTAACGCTTGCAAAGACAAGATCGACGGCTGGGCCAAGGCTTCGTTGGACGGCGCGGCTCGGGATTTGGCCAAGTCCACGGCCACGTACAAGATCATCAACACGCATTACTCGCCGCACTTCCACATGGGCGAGCCCAAGATGCTGGCGTGGTACAACTTGACGAAAACGTATGGGGTTCACGTCTGGTTCAACGGCCACACCCATGGGTTCAACCATGACGTGGCCAAGTGGAACACGCACTTCTTTGAGAACGGCGGTGGCGGCGGTATTTTCACTGAAACGTCAACTTTGGGCAAAAACGACTTCATTGATAACCTGTGGGTGGCTGGCGGCAACCCGTACGGGTTTATGGAGTTGAGTTTTACCAAGGACTGGATGAAGGTGAACTTTGCCACGTTCGACAAATCGTGGGACTTTGGGGGCTACGACTACGAAGCGACCAAGTCGGGGGGGATTGCGCGGGGTCATTGTTGGTACATTCCCAGTATCCAAAGCACCAAGGGTGTCAAGTGCAAGGCGTCCAATGATTTGCCTCTCGGAGCTCCCATCGGATAATATGGAGTTGTTGAATGATATAAACGTCAATTTTTCCATGGCTTTTTTCACGAACTGGATTTCAATGGAATCGACACCTATTGGCTAACTGAATTGATCAGTCTTTGCCTTCGTTTTTGACCCTTCAGCATGTTTGCCATAAGATTGGATGACCCATGAACTGCATAAATGTAACGTTAGCACGCGAACCGTTGATGCGAGATAATAAGTGTATTGTCATCGGAAATCGTAGGCCAGGTGGCCTGCTGCATTTGATTGGGTAAAATCACGAAAAACCCTACAAATTGCTTCAAGTTGGTTTTGCTCAGCTTTGCGGCTTGGACATTGAGACGCAATGCCCAAGCTGTGTGACCACACAATACATAGGCATTTAGTAGGTGAAGTGATGTGTGATGTAAAAGTTAGCTTTGTGGCTTGGTATACTTACGCACCATAGCATTAGGTGCGGACCGCGAAATGCGATGCTTGTGAAGTACCTCTGTGTGTGCGTGCAAAGTGATGAGCTGCATTCGGGGCCATGTACGGACTTAGTAGTCCTGCTGTGAAATGCATACAGGACCTTATTCTCGAAACAACTCCTGTTGGCGGTGCGTGCAGTGCTCGCGGTGGGACACCCACGGTTTACTATTACGCAGTAAAGTTGAGATCACTGAGCGGGCAAAGGTCAGCGGCAAACTAGAGACAGTACCCT